AGTGACCACAATGGCTGGAGCTGAGCCAGTCCAAAGCCAGGAGCCACTTTCGGGTCTCCCGTGCAGGTGCAGGATCCCAAGGCTTTGGGCCGTCCTCAACTGCTTTCAGGCCAGAAGCAGGGAGCTGGCATTAGAACTGGCACCCATATGGGATCCTAGCACATGCGAGGTGATGACTTTAGCCACTAGGCTTTTGTGCCAGGCCCGAGAAACAAACTTTTTATAGAGCTAAATGGAATGGCTCTTGGATAAACTGCTTTGAAAATTGGTCATGATGGGCCTGGCAGCGTGGCCTAGTGGTAAAGTCCTCGCCTGAAGTGTGCCGGGATCCCATATGGGCACCGGTTCTAATCCCGGCAGCTCCACTTCCCATCCAGCTCTCTGTGACCTGGGAAAGCAGTCAAGGGTGGCCCAAAGCTTTGGGACCCTGCAACCATGTGGGAGACCCGGAAGAAGTTCCTGGCTCCTGGCTTCGGATCGGCATAGCATCGGCCGTTGTGGTCACTTGGGGAGTGAATCATTGACAGAAGATCTTCCTCTCCGTCTCTCCTCCTCTCTGTATATCTGACTTTCCAATAGATAAATAAATCTTTACAAAAAAAAAAAAAAAGAAAATTGGTCATGATGCTGTTCTAACTGTAAGTGCTCATTAAGTCTCTGTAAATCTTTTTTAAAATCTCTTAAAACTATTTATTTTATTTTTACCTGAAAGTCAGATATATAGAGAGGAGAAGAGACAGAGAGAAAGATCTTCTGTTCATTGATTCACTTCCCAAGTGGCTGCGACAGCCAGAGCTTAGCCAATCCAAAGCCAGGAGCCTGGAGCTGCAACTGGGTCTTCCATGCAGGTGCAGGAACACAAGACTTTGGTCTGTCCTCAGTCACATTCCCAGGTCGCAAGCAGGGAGCTGGATGGGAAGTGGGGTGGTCGGGGTTAGAACTGACGCCCATACGGGATCCTGGTGCATGCAAGGTGAGGATTTAGCCATTGAGCCATCATGCTGGGCCCACATAACCTTCTTCTACTTTTTTCCCCCAAGTTTATTTAAAAGTAGAGAAGATCACAGATACTTGTGGAGCATGTTCAGGGGTGGAGTGGGTTGGAGGAGAGATATGGGAGAGAAGGAAATGTTTCTGCCTTCCATTCTGTGGTTCAGGAAGAGAGGAGATCACCCCCTTCACTTTGTCAGTCTTCCTGCATCCTAATAAGCAGAATTGTTTTATGATACTACCACAATTCCCTGGTGAGGGGAATTAATCTGGAGGAGGGGTCATTTGGTTGATAATGCAGGTAAGATTTACAAGAGCAGGAGTGTGGCTTCCAGCCCATGACCATAAGCTAGCTACCTACCTGTCCCATTTCATTTCATCCCCCAGAGATTCCCAACTCTTCATCTAAGAGTTGCTGAAGGATGCAGAGTTATCACATCTGTTCTGGTAAATTCCTGTTGATTTGGGGTACAGGGCTTGCCTATTCTGGGCTCTAATAAACTCTATCTCATCTATTGGATCCCTGTCAGGTGCTAGAGAAATTCCACTCAGGGCTTATGGCTGTGTCCCCCACATCTTCATTATTATTCTGAGATGTTGTTGGTTTCTTTGCACCTGATTCAGAAACATAGATGGTGTAATCATGTCACGTGTGCACCAATACCAGACATTTCACGCAACATTTGTGGTGTCTGAGGCCAATAGGTGATGAAAAGATGGGGCTGCTTGCTGATGCCAAAAGCCATTGGTGAGCCTTCCCCAACTATAGGTGCAGCAGTCTGGCCTTGGGGCAGTGGGAGCTCTGTAGGCCTCCCAGCCCATTCCCACTTTTCTTACTCCTTATGTGTAAAATGCCCTTATAACTGCTGGATTTCAGTAGTCATTCTGGACTATGGCATTAAAGTCACTTACTGAAAGTAGTGGAGTTGTTGTTTTAATCTCAAGACTATCTCCCTGCAGACCTTTTTGGATGGCAGGGAAATAAACTTCAACATTGTTTAGGCCATAGGGTTTTTTTTTCCCTGTTTGTGTAGCTGCTTTGGGTTGAGTGTGTGGTCCCCAGCATTCGTGTGTTGGCCTTGATGCAGCAGTGTTGGGAGATGGAGCCTAGTGAACAGTGTTCAGGTGGTAAGGTTCACCTTATCAATGGAGAAATGTCATCTCACAAATGAAAGTGAATTTTTGCTCCTGCAGAATCTGATTAGCTACAAGAATGGTTTGCTACGAAGCACATGGTCTGCATTGTCTGCACGTGCTCACGTTGCACCAGAAGCTGAAGCAGTTTAAGGCACTTATTACAAGCCAAGCAGATGCCAGTACCATGTTCTTGGACGTGCCAGCCTCCAGAACCATGAGCCAAGAGAAACTTCTTTATTTTGTAAATTACCCAATCTCAGATATTTTGTTATGGCAACAGGGCATGGACCGAGACAGCAGCTGAACTCAATTCTAATAAATTGGATTGGTGAAAATATGGCTTGTATAGGTATTATACAGTTATGCATATGGAGAGAGTTAGAGACCTTGGTGCTAAAATCTTTACTAAGTAAACATATATAGACAGATGACAGTTGCTTCAAAGGAGCTGAGTTGGAAAAGGTCAAGAGAAAGAGCAATGAGGATTAAGCTGGCTTAATATCAGGAACACAGTACACTTCCTTCTTCCTTGTGTGAATATCTACTTTTTTATTCCTATGTCTGATTATGCAAGTAAGTTAAAAAAAAAACAGGTCAGATAACTTGTTTCAAAACACAGGAAAACAATGGCAAAAATATGCTGACTCAGATGAGTGATCAAATCCTGAGGACTTTCTGGAAGACCATGCTTGCCCCAAGGACATTTCATAATGTTAAGCAGCTCACAGTCTCCTTAACCACTCTTCACAAAGTTATATTCAATATTTAATAACTTTTAGAGGTTTAGTTATTCTTATTGTAAAGGCAGACTTAACAGAAAGAAGGAGAAAGAAAGATCTCCATCTGCTGGTTTCTCCTCAAATGGCCACAACAGCCTGAGCTGAGCCAATTTAAAGCTAGGAGCCAGGAGCTTCTTCTGGGTTTCCCAAACAGATGCTGGATCCCAAGGTTTTAAGCCATCCTCTGCTGCTATCCCAGGTCATAAGCAGGGAGTTGGATGGGAAGTGGAGCAGCCGTAACAAGAACCGGAGTACATATGGTATCTTGGTACTTGCAGGGGGATGATAAACCATTGAGCCATCATGCTGGGCCCTAATTTAATAGTTAAACTCATTGTTTCACCTTGCATATTGAATTTCTCCATTCAGTTAATAATTAATTTACTGAGATCTTACTGTATTGTGGGCAGTATATTAAGTATTAGAAATACAAAGATTAATTATAAAATATCTTCCTTCAAGAAGTTTACAAGTCCAAGGAAGAAGCAGGTGAGGGACTCAAATTTTATTCCTATGGTGAAAGGCTGTCTATCAACCATAATTAAGAGTTATCCCAGGGCCCGGCGCTGTGGCGCAGTGGTTAAGGTCCTCGCCTTGCACGCCCCAGATCCCATATGGGCGCCAGTTCTAATCCCGGCGGCCCCTCTTCCCATCCAGCTCCCTGCCTGTGGCCCGGGAAAGCAGTCGAGGACGGCCCAAAGCTTTGGGACCCTGCACCCGCGTGGGAGACCCGGAAGAGGCTCCTGGCTTCGGATTGGCATTAGCCGTTGCGCTCACTTGGGGAGTGAATCATCGGACGGAAGATCTTCCTCTGTCTCTCCTCTCTGTATATCTGCCTTTCCAATAAAAATAAAATAAATCTTTAAAAAAGAAAAGAAAAGAGTTATTCCAGGTGTAATGAAACCCCAAAGGAAGTTCACGTATCTAACACTGGGAATCAGGCAAGTATCCCTGGAGGAGATAATAGTTGATAAATTTAAATCTTAATCCAGGGTTTAGCCACTGTGCAAGTAACAGGGCACACAGACCTGTATTAAGACCTTAGTATTAAGTAAAATTACCTTACTTATCAATGTGCTTGCATTATATGTGTCATAAATTTTGTTAGTGGTGACTACTGTCTCATTGGGTCTCTACAAGAGAAAACTTACCCAAATAATTTTAAGAAGTAGCATCCTGTGACCTTTTAGCATCATTTTCCTTTCCTTTTTTTTTTTTTTAAAGATTTATTTATTTATTGGAAAGTCAGATATACAGAGAGGAGGAGAGACAGAGAGGAAGATCTTCCATCCGATGATTCACTCCCCAGGTGACTACAACGGCCGATGCTATGCTGATCCGAAGCCAGGAGCCAGGAACTTCCTCCGGGTATCCCACACGGGTGCAGGGTCCCAAAGCTTTAGGCCACCCTCGACTGCTTTCCCAGGCCACAAACAGAGAGCTGGATGGGAAGTGGAGCTGCCGGAATTTGAGCTGGTGCTCATATGGGATCTCGGGGCGTTCAAGGCAAGGACTTTAGCCGCTAGGCCATGCTGCTGGGCCCATCATTTTCCCTTGCTAAAATTAGAGCCTATGCCAGATTTGGTTAAGGAAACTAAAACTAAATACTAAGAGTATTTTTTTTTTTAAGAACAACTTAATTTGGGCCTGTAATGGTAACCTAGTGGCTAAAGTCATCGCCTTGCATGCATCAGGTTCCATAAGGACACCGGTTCTAATCCCAGCCACCACACTTCCCATCTAGCTCCCTGCTTGTGGCCCGGGAAAGCAGTCGAAGATGGCCCAAAGCCTTGGGACCCTGCACCTGCACGGGAGACCTGAAAGTGGCTCCTGGCTCTTAGCTTTGGATTGGCCTAGCGCCAGCCATTGTGGTCACTTGGGGAGTGACTCATTGGATGGAAGATCTTCCTCTATGTCTCTCCTCCTCTCTGTATATCTGACTTTCTAATAGACACATATTTTTTAAAAAGCAACTTAATTTATAATCCTAGAAAACAATGTTAATTCAAACACTAATAACTATACACTATACTAATAACTAATCTTCTTGAGAATATTTTCCTATAGTTCTTGTGAAACAAAAAACAGTTTTTGAAACATAATTCTTTATTTTGAAAGATTTAAATTATAATGACAAGACAGAGTTCCCATATGCCCCACATCTCCTTTCCCTTATTATTACTCCCTTAAAATAATGTAGTATCCTTGTCATATCTATGAACCATACTGATACACTGTCATTAACCAAAATATATCTATTATTAACATTCCCTTGAAAGTGCTCTTTCTGTTCAGTATACCCTATTGTCCCACATTATCCTTAGATATCACGTCTCCTTCCTCTATAGTTTCTCACACTTCCCTTGTTTTGCGGACCTAGAGAGTTGAGATGATCAGGTATTTTGTAAATATTTCTCCACTTGGGTTTATCTGAAGGTTTTCTCCTGATCCCTTTAACAGAGGAAGACTACAGAGACAAAGCGACCTTTCCATCGAATCTTATCCGGAGTCCACCCTATCAGCATGACTCATTCGTATTCCCATAACCTTGATCACTCAAATGACAGGGTGCTTCTGCAATTGCTCCCCTGCAAGGTTATAAATTACTTGGAAATCTTCCAAATGGGAGATAGGTCTATGTCAGCCCGTTGACATATTTTTTTTCATTCATTTATATCATATAGACTCAGGAGGTTTTTAAACATATATTTTATATTAAAATTCAATAGTAAAATATTTCTTTTGTTGCTCAGATTATTCCAGCTTTGGCTTTGGGGACCACATTCAGATGGTCTCTTTGATAAGCTATTTCGTTTACTTTTTGAGTAATCCTTACTCTCTGGCACTACTCTCTACTACTACTACTACTACTATATAGTTAGTTTACAAAATATACTTGAGAAAATCATACAACCATTTCATATGGCTACAGGAACAGGAATAGCAGTATACATGTATAAGTGCACATTTGTTCCCATTCCTCAGTAACTAGGGCTTAGTGTCTCGAGTTGCTCTACCTTCCATTTCCTATTCATATCTTACTGATACTTTGGTTTGGAAATTAACCAGAAATTTTCTTGTAACCTTACATATTTTAAGAATGAGAGTGTCAATTAATTCATAAACAAGCTAAAAGAGCATCACATTTCTGTGTTAAAAGAAATTAAAGAGACCTTCTGTTTACTTTTGCACTAGAGTAATCTGCAGATTTAAATACTAAATCTGTTTCAACACATGATAAATATCCAGTATCACAGGGATTAGAGAAGGAAAAAAGCCTTAAAAGTAATACAAGTTCTTAGTTTTCCAATTGTCAGAAATTATTGCCAAAGGTAAAATAGGCAAAATGGCTGACAACCATCCAAATAGTTAAATGATTAGGATGAAGTTCTTGTATTCTTCTTTATGTTTTTTATGTATTTGTATTAGGAAAGATAATAATTCCTAATGCTATTCTTTGAATTATTAAAAATATATCCTCTGTTAAATAATAGGCAGCAATCCAAAAACTTGTCTATCTTGCCCAAGCCTGCTCCATCTTATACCTTTCTTCGTGGTTTCAGCGTCCCTGAGAGCTAACATTGAATTATCATCTCTGTGAAGAAAGAACAAAACTTCTACAGGTAAGAAACCATATTCAGCATCAGTACCAGAGGGAAGCCTAAATCCCTGCTTTCCACTTCATTTGTTCTGTTTCTCAGTTCTCTGTGGTGCGACCGAGGTCAGCTGGCCTAAGCAGACTACTTCCACATTTAGTTAATCTCAAGTCTAATTTAACACATAAATGATCTCTTCTGCTACTTATTAATTAAACTCCATGGAGGAAAAGGAAAAGAAATTGGAGCTAGGGGAGATAAGTCGCTTTTGTAGATCACACTACTACAACCATTAACAGCTAGTTCTCCTATTTCCCAAGATAAAGTCTTGTTGGATTCTCAGATATGGGAACTGATAGATCAGAAAAGATAAGATAGCCGCTGTAAAAAATCCAAATTCTCAACCAATCTGACCCAGTTTGCAGATGCCATATTATTAGCATGGTTTGCGAACCTAGAAAGTTGAAGGAAAAATGAAGAGAGGGATAATGCTTTCCAAAGAGAAATACTAGCAGAATTCTGGCAATTTGAAACAGGGAGGTCTTTGATCTTGTCAAATTCTGAAGGCATCTCTGTGTTAGCTTCTCAAGGAAAACTGGTGCAATGACAAAGTAATGGCTAAAAATAACCCAAAATGATAGCAAAGAAAGCAACAGCTAGCACCAACTTGCCCACTGTCATTGCTGAAGTTGCGGAATTACTTCTGTCAACTGCTCTTGTCATCAAAGGCTTCCTGATACGATCCTCCATGGTGAGGATAGCTTTTCGAGCCCCAGCCCATTTTCCAGGGCCCTGCAAACGATAGTGGATTGGCGTACAGGGTCCCACAAACAATTTTAATGCCAGCTTGGGGTCAGTGAAGGCCAGGGAGAGCAGATTAGGCCTGACCCCCAAAAAACCAGCAATTTCTTCCATGGTGTCTATGTAGTCTCCCTGAATAGTATGGCGTTGGCTCTCCACATACCTAAAGTAGAAAGGGCAGAAACCATAGCTTGTTAACAAGTCAGTCATTCAATCAGTGCTTTTTATTGGCTCAGTACCAAGCTAGGATCAGTGGTAAAAACGATGGAAAACAATGACAAGACATTGTCACTGTCCTTAATGAGGTTGTCATTTCCTGGATGAGAAAAGACAATGTACATGGAACAACAAAGAATAAATACTTGGTGAATTATGTGATTTTAGATTACTCAGTAGAAATTTAGACAAGGAGCAGTTAAAGGAGATCTGTAATAGGTACTTAGAGGATATAACAGAAGCAGATGAGAACACAGAGGAAAGGAGTACAAGTTACGGAGCAGCAGAGTGAGAGCGCCAGGCAGCAGTGGACGGAGAGTATCTGTGGGCACCATGTCCAGTGAAGGAGGCATAGTGTGGAAAATGAGAGCAGGTGTTGGCAGATCCAAGAGGTCTTCCTACAGTGGACTCTGATGTTGTCAGAAAAACACTCACTCTAAAATTCTCAATTATTTTATGAAGGCATTAGTGACAGGATTTACAGAATAGGGTGAATTTCAGGGTGAGTATGAATTTCAGGGTGAATATGAATTTGTAATTCTGAAAAAACAAGGGAGGATGACTTTGCCACAGTAGGAAGTAGCCCTCCAAATGGAGCCAAATGCAATGACTGCACCAAGTACAGAATGGAAGAGTTTAAAAGACTTTTGGGGGCGGGGAATGTGGTTCAGATGTTTCATTCTGTTAACTCCCAGCTCCCAGCTTCAGTCTGGCTTAGCCCTGGCCCTAAAAACAAACAAACAAACAAAAACTAAAAGCATTTTTTTCTGGGAAAATTTCTGTTTCTGTGCGGAAGAAGTGGGATTTGGAGAGCTAATGGAAGACTTTCACTTTTACTACTTTTTTTTCTATATATTTTTACTTGAAAGGCAGATTTTACAGAGAAGGAAAGACACACAGACACAGAGAGAGAGAGAAAGAGAGAGAGGTCCTCCGTCTGCTGGCTTACTCCCTAAACAGTTGTAGCAGCCAGACTGAGCTAATGCAAAGCCAGGAGCCAGGAGCTTCTTCCCGATCTCTCACTTAGGTACAGGGGCCCAAGGATTTGGGTCAGCCTCTGCTACCTTCCCAGTCCGCAAGCAAGGAGTTGGATCAGAAATGAAGCAGCTGGGGCATGAACCACCACTCACGTGGGATGAGGATTAGCCTGCTGAGCCACATCATAACTTTCACTTTCTATACTGAAAGAACAGTGGGCCCAAAAGGAAGTAAGAGAAAGTTAAGTGATTGAGACTGAGAAATCAAAAACCATGTATAGAAAAAAAAATACATAAGATGAATATGAAGTAGAACTGGAGAGATGGAATTCCAGAGGAAGTGATAGATGGTCAAGCAGGAATGTACTGGAGTGGATTACAGTTTAGAAGAGAGGAAGAAATGGCAACTTTCTGTTAGGGAGGGAGGGAGGTTACGTTGGCTCAGGTGTTGGGAGCCATGCATGTATGTGTTCTATGGTATTGGACCATAAGCTGTAGAATTCATGAAGGCTTGACAAGCCGTAGAATTCATGAAGGCTTGACAGAGCACCTGCTTGTGAGTTTGTTATGAGGATGAGATAACCTCCCTGCACGTGAAACACTTGCTCTGTATATACCCTCAGTTAAAGTGATAGTTCCTGGGGACTGCTCACAGTCAGAAGGTGTAGTTAGGCAAAAACTAAGCCAAAGGAAGAAGAAAGTTGAAGGATGACAGATGAGTGACAAGAAGGGACACACGCACTCCGAGAGGGAAGGGATGCTTAAAGGGGTTAAGCTCAGTAGAGGCAGAAAGGCAAAAGAGGCCAGTCATGGGTGACCCCCCAGTTTCAGGGGTGACTGTAAGTTCTGAGACAGGGGCTTACAAGGGAGCAAATGGTGACACCTTAGGGCACAAGATGTGGAAATTTTGCCACAGATGTTTGCCAGTGAAATACAGGAGAAAATAGAAGTACCTGGGGAGGATGCTAAATAAAAACATTTTCTCTTCTTCCTCCAAGATAGGGGAATATATGTTGATACCATCACCCATTAATGACCTCTATGGGTCCAGAATGATCAGTTTCAGCCTTATACAAAGAGAACCACCCTGTAACTGCTCTCAGATACTGAAGTTCAAGCTGCTGCATTACAAGGCACTAAGCAGCTGGCTGATGGTATTGCCTTCCCAATTTATGTGCACCTAGGGGTAGTGTCACATGATTATAGCCAGCCAAATGGCCACCTCAGATTGATAAAACTACCTGCAGACCTGGAATTCAGGCATATCTGCCCCATTAGCTCATTGCCACTGGTCCTTCCTTGGGCAGCTCTACTAACATTCTAAACACACACACACACACACACACACACACACACACACACACACACACACACACACACCATGGCTGATGTTCTCTCTATGTTCTCTCTCTTTCTCCTACTCACGTTTTTGTTTAGGGCCAAACACCTTTTCTTACCTTTTAAAAAAGCATCCTCTGCTTTGTTACCCATTTTGAAATCATCAGTGCTATTGTCCCATTCTAGGTTCACAAAATATTATTCTCTTTTCCACCAAAATACAATCTAAATCCTTAAACTAACACAAGGAAGCTAAAAACAGTCTAATGTAGTCTTTTTTTAAGACATAGAAAGAGACACAGAGGTCTACTGTGTGTCCATCTACTCCAACCACTGGCCCACTCTCCAGATGGCTGCAATAGCCAGGGTTGGGCCAGGCAGAAGCCAGAAATAAGGAGCTCCATCCAGGTCTCCCACATGGATGGCAGGTGCCTAAACACCTGAGGCATCATCTGCTACTTTTTCCAGGTCATTAATAGGAAGCTGGATTGTAAGTGGAGCAGCTGGTAAACAAATCAGCATCCATGTGAGTTGCTGGTGCCACAGGCAGTGACTTTACCCATTACACCACATTGCTGGCCCCACTAATAAAAATTTTGAAGGGGAAAAACAAATAGAAAAAGTGTCCAGGGAAATTAAAAAGATCCGAGAAGGATTTCTTACCTTTTTGCCATTTTCTCTTGACTTTCAGTTATGTCTGCCATCATTTCGCTTTGTGAAGGTAATGTCTTTAGCCCTAAAGAGAAAAAAATAAAATTGTAAATATAAAATTACCACAGTGGAAACAGCAATCCTTATTAACAATGACTATGCTATAGAGAATTCAGAGAACTAGAGGATTATTTTCTGAACTCAAGAAGATTTCAGTTCACTTAATTACTTACCTACCGCAATGTACTGATGTAAAAATCTGTAGCTTAATATATTCTAGTTTGTCTTAAAGAAAAAAAAAAAGGTTTACTTATTTTTATTGGAAAGGCAGATCAGATTTATGGAGAGAAGGAGAGACGCAGAGAAAGGTCTTCCATCCACTGGCTTACTCCTCAAGTGGCCACAACAGCTAGAGCTGAGCCAATCTGAAGCCACGAACCAGGATCTTCCTCCAGGTTCCTCATATGTGTACAGGATCCCAAGGGTTTGGGCTTTCCTCTATTGTTTTCCCAGGTCATCAGCAGGGATTGGATGGGAAATGGAGCAGCTGGGATATGAACTGGTGCCGAGATGGGCTCCTTGGATTTCCAAGGCGAAGATTTAGCTACTGAAACATCATGCAGGGTCCCCTAGTTTATCCTCAAAAGATACTTCTCTTCAGCTCTGCCCTCCAACGGATATCTGCCTCTTCAATAACATACTTTTCCTAATGAGAAATAGAACATGGACATGAATATATCATAAATGACCTTCAAGGTATATGGAAAATTAAGTACAAAGACCTGGGGAATGAGGAGACATCTCTACCTGTACTCTTGATAACACAGAGACTTTATATCCTAGGCAGAGGAGAAAATAAAAGCAGGCTGCTAATCACCTTGCATGCAAAGTCCTAGAGAAGATAAGCCTCACCTTCCAAATAGGGGAAAGGCCAGGGTCAAGTCTTATTACCTAATCTTGACAAACAAATTTAAGTACCATTACGTAAACAATTCCAATAGTAGGAATTTAACCCTAAGGAATTTAACCCTTCTGGCTAGCCAGAAGGAAACTGATATTTAGGTCAATATAAACAACTATAAACTTTAATAATTAGATATCCAGGCCGTATACCACTTAGAAAACTACCCTGAGCAAGTCCTAAGGTGTTATTCCAAGACATTCTGGAATTTCGGGTTTCTAGATGGAAGTATTTCTTACCTAACTCAAGCCTTCTCATCATGGACACATTAATCAAGTGATTATCTCATCCCTCCTGAAATACCTTTGGTGATGAAGATCTCATTTCCTTCTGAGAAGATACAGTTGTTTGACTACTTACTGGACTGTTATTTAGCTTGACCTGAAAATCTGCACCTATGCAACTTGCATCATTGGTCTTAGATCTGCCTGCCACAGAGTTAATTTTAATATACGTAAGCCCTTGAAAAATGTCTAAAACAACTGTCACAACACCCTTCAGTCTCTCATTAGGAGACTTAACAGCTCAAGTTCCCCATAGAAGGAGTTTCATACACTGTCAACTCTTCTGGGCATGCTTAAGTCATTATGATGGTGGATCCCGCTTATAAATGTAAGACTTGAAATTCAGCACTCGGAAATAGCATGCTGGATTTTTCCATGTGTGTTTCCATTGAATCCATATGAATTTTATTTATTATTGCCATCAAACAGGAAACACTGAAACGCTGCATTTGAGATTAATCACAGATCTCTTAGAATGTTAAAAATCAATACATTTTCAGAGTTCCAAATTCTGAATCTCATAGTACAATTATAGGTTTCTTCCTCCATAACATTTCTAACTAATAGCAGTTAAATTTATAATTGTACTATGAGATTCAGAACAGCCCATTAAAAAATTCCTATTATCACTTGCAGAGGATATCTGGCACCACAACAGAGGACAGAACTAATCGATCAACTACCCCTGCCATATGTTGGCAGTGAAAAACTGGGCAAACGGAGACTCTAAGATGTACTATGTCAATCAGTGGATTCTGCAGCGACTTCATCGGGCTTGGAATGGCGAGATTGGCAGCAACTCAGAACTGTTGAACTATCAAAACCACTTGAGCAAGACCCTCGGAGCATGCCCCACATCAGGGACCTGGGATGGGTGGGAGGTTGGGTGGGGTTTCTCCCTTTATCTCCCTATTTACCCCAGATACAGAAAAAGAAGAGAATGTGGAAATAATAGTCTTACCCACTTTTCTGTAGCCTTTGAACCTTTGTGCCCTAATTAACCATGTGAAGATTGTCAAAAATAAAGAAAAAAATTCTTATTATCTAGATACATGTACAGTATCAGATACTGCAGTCCTAGTAACTCATTAATCTGTCTTTAATAGTGTTTCCTTGATGGGTACATATAATCTTTACTATGTTATCTCCTTGTCCTTTGCATCTTGCTCCCTGTTTTGAATTCTCAATTTAAATAGAAGGCCAGAGTCTCATGGCAAGTGCTTCTCTCCTATCCCCAGCATGCATTCTGTGATCAAATCCTTTCAAATTTGCCTATGAAATTTCAGTTGAGTTTCTCTCTGTCCCTTAATTATTACATTGGCTTAAGCATTCATGAAGTCTTCCTCAGACTCTGACCACAGACTTTTACTAGCTGATTGCATGCTTCTCTAATGCAGTGTCTAAGTTGCACATCTGTTTTCCAGTTAAAATCTTCCCATTGGGGCTGGCATTGTAGCTAGTGAAACTGCTACCTGCAATACCATCCCATGTGGATATCTGGAGAGAGCAACAGAAGATAGCACAAGTGCTTGGGTCCTTGCACCACATGGGAGACCTTGATGAAACTCTTGGCTTCAGCCTGACTCAGCCCCAGCTGTTGCAGCCATCTGGGGAGTGAACCAGTGGATGGAAGAGCTCTCTCTTTGCCTCTCCATATACGTGTGTATGTATTCACACATATATGTACGAAATGTTGCCTTTCAAATAAACGAATGTTTAGAAAAAAACATTCAGTGATTCTCTATAGCTTATATTAAATGCAAGCTTCCTGCATGGCACCCGGAGATATTTTCTTTCTTCATGTAAAGATTCATGTATTTATTTGAATGACAAAGTGACAGGAAGCAGGAAAGCCAGAGACAGACGGGTCTTGTATCTGATGGTTTACTCCCTCAAATGGCCACAAAAGTTGGGTCTGAGCCAGGCTATAGGCAGAGGCTTGAAACTCCATCCAGGTCTCCCACTTGGGTGGCAGCAAGCCAAGCATTTGAGCCATCTTCTCTTTTCTCAGGCACATTAGCAAGGAGCTTGTTTCAAAGTGCAACAGCTGGGCCTCAAACCAGCTTTCTGATAATGTGATGTCAGCATCACACACAGCAACTAAACCCAGTCCTCTTAACAGCCCTCCAAGATTTGTCTTGCTATCTTCTTCATGACTATCTCTAGCTTCATTTTCTTTAATTCTTATAACATTTTATTTTTTCAGCATTCGGGACAACATGCAGATCCCAGAGCTGATTTTGTTCTGTCATTTGTTTTTCTCTAACTTTACGTAAATATTAGTGATTTCCCTCTCTCTTATGGTCAGGATTTCCTTGTCCGTTCTTAAACCAAATGTAGCTCTGGCTGAGAATGGTGTACATAGTGCCACGGCCCCCAAGGCAGCTCCTCTCCCTTGCTATTGAGGATACAGGAAGCGTCTGCAGAATGAACAAAAACATTAATAGTCTACTTCTCTGTCTAACTTGACTCTGAGTTCCATCAACACAAGGATTTTCTGGTTCATTGTATTTCCCATCTCACTACCCACAGAGGGCCTGGTATGTGCTGAGAGGTCAGTAAAGGGGAGCTGATTTTCTGTTAATCCTGGCCTGCTCCAGCGCATTTCAGCATGTTAGGAGAGAGGGCTGTCACTCTCCCAGTGCAATCCAGCCTTTCACAATACTGGAAATGGCCTAGATAGTTAATCAGCTGAGATCTCCTGATAAGAAGTTACAGTTATATAATGTACATTCACCCAAGGCTAACAGGTATTTGTTTGAACAAAATGTTGTTAAACTCTCCTCTGTGTGCTTGGTATTGGTTTAGGCTTAGAACACAAAATAAAACAAACATGATTCTTCAACATTTCAGAAGCAGTTCTTTCCATCTTAAAATGATACTGGTTTGGGCCCAGCGCGATGACACAGTGGTTAAGGTCCTCTCCTTGCACGCCCGGGATCCCATATGGGCGCCGGTTCTAGTCCCAGCAGCCCGACTTCCCATCCAGCTCCCTGCCTGTGGCCCGGGAAAGCAGTCAAGGACGGCCCAAAGCTTTGGGACCCTGCACCCGCGTGGGAGACCTGGAAGAGGCTCCTGGTTTCAGACAGGCATAGCATCGGCCGTTGCGCTCACTTGGGGAATGAATCATCGGACGGAAGATCTCCCTCTCTGTCTCTCCTCTCTGTATATCCGCCTTTCCAATAAAAAAAAAAAAATGATACTGGTTTATAGGAAAAGGTTTAAAATTTTGTGTGCTATTAAGATAGCCCCCAAGATATCACTCCTGGGTGCAGTTCAACTGTTCGATCTTTCCATATGCATCTGCTCTGATATCTGAAGGGAACTCTCTTACTTCCTCTACACTTGTTTTCTCCAGTTAAACCTCTCTAGCTCTTGTAGCTGTACTTAAAATGTGCTTTCCTTCCTTTTTTTAAAAATGTGTTTTTAAATCCTTTAAATCATTCTTATCACTCTCCTTACTTAATGCACTCCAGAAATTTCACATATAAAATTTGCCTTGAGGTGTGGCCTAATTTCAAAACTTATAATGTGCAATGCATTATCATTATTTAAAATAAGGCTAAATTTAACTAAGATTTTTGGAAGTCATGTATTCTAGTAATTCATATTGAGCTTTTTGTCTCAAACTCCAGGAATAAAGTGGGAAATAAGAAGATCTAATAGGCTGACTATTCTACATTCTAAACTAGACTCCTACCTGGTGTCAATTTTTAGCTGAAGTCAAGTCAGGCCATTTATGTATCTGACTTTATCAGTAGTAAAAGACAAATATATACCAGTTGTATAAAATCATCTACAGAGTTGAGGTCACAGCACACCTAGTTTGGAATAATGTGTGAGATGATCTTGTTTAATATTCATGGTTATAAATTATTACTCTGAAATCACTCAAGAGTAAATTATATATGCTGACTTTGTACCAGTCACTATCATATACTATCTTGAGTTGTTTAAAAGGAAGTACACACACATACAGAGTTCAACATACTACTAGTTCAGTCAATTTTGCACACTTACCTTTAAACACTTGAGTGGCCCAACGTGCTTGCAGCTCTGAAATAGGCATAATGGCTCCCAAGGGCTGGATCAAGCCTATCATTGCAAGAGTTGGCCTTTCCAGGTTAGGGGGGAAGACCTTCTTATACAGAGACACCTTGTTTTTGACCACTTTAACAGAGTCTTCAAGAAAAGGAAAGGAAAAACTATAGCCTGTAGCAAAAATAACAGCATCAATGTCATCCTCCCTGGAGCCATCCTCAAATATGGCAGCTGTTTCAGTGAATTCCTTCACATTCCCTTTTATCTTGACAAAGCCAGAAATGATGCGGTTTGGCAGGTCATCATTTATTGTTGGATGTTGACTGAGAACTCTGTGAAGTGGTGATACAGTCCAAGAGAAGGAGAGATGCGAGTGAGAGAGAGAGGGAGAAAGAGACAGAGGAATGGGAGATGGGGTGGGGAGAGGAGAGAGGAAAAAGAGAGAGAGGAGTCAGTACCACGTAGGCAAAATTCTACATCGATGAAGATGGCCAATGGCCTCCCCCCTCAGTTCATAAATAAAATTCTAAACAGTCCTAAATGCACCAGCTTGGTACGCATCAGGATCTAAGAACAGAAGTTAGACCCTGGACCACTGAAAGGAAGGATGTTGGACTAGTGAAGGAAGGAGAGTGTCACTTAAGGAGTAGTACCCTTGTGGTTTCTCAGGTAACAGTTATACTATAGGCCAGTGGTTTTTATCCATGTATCAAGAAACCTGGTAGAACTAAACTATCAACATGTTTGGTCTCATTTTAGTTCCAAAGGTGCAAGGAACATCATTTTCCAGGCTGTGCAACACAGTCCATGCACATGATAATTTTCAGTTCATAAATTGCTTTTCCACTCATTAACTTATTTAGCCCTCATGTATTGCTGTGAAGTAGGCAGACAGTTGTCATTAGGTCTTACAGATGAGGCAGCAGAAGCTTACGGAAGTTAAGTGACTTGCTCAGTGATACACACCTAGGGCTTTAGAATTTTTATAACAAGTTTTGTATGCACTCATTTAAGATATGTTGGGCCTGACAGTAGCATACCAGATTTAATATAGGATAGGAATACAACTAAATGAATAAAATTAGTTAAGTCCCCAGTATTTTGGATTTTTCTAATAGGTTGCCTTAACTCCTGACTCCTAAATTAATCAGCTCTGAGAAACCTTAGCCCATTATCCTCAGTCAGAGCTAACTTAGCTTTAGGAATGTTTTATGTCTAAACAACTTAATGCTTTGCTAGATGTAGCTGTGCTTTGGTTATAAGCTTTAGTCAGATTCATTATTCTTTCCAAACTCATGACCATGTCCTTCTTTCTATACCTTCTCACTTTTACTAACTGGACCACCATCTACCAAGATGCCTAAGTCACAAAACTGAAAGTCTCATATCTGATTCCCAAGCCTTTCCCCTTTATCCTCTTAACATCCTCAGAATAATTTTATCTACTCCCTCTCTTGACTGCTGGCTTTCCTCATTCTCCTTTTATACGAATTTTGAAATGGTCATTCTGAAATGTATTTGTTATTACATCTCTCACTCTTTTAGATCTTCGAATACATTTGTGCTGTGTTTAGTCCAAACGTTTTGTTAAGCAAAGCATGCAAAGGTTTTTATGCCCAATTAAACTAGAGCTGCAGTCAGTCACTCAAACCTTTGTCACTAGTCCAGCCAGACTATGTGCAACTCCCATAGCATAAGGCCCTTTTATACTATGCCAAGACTTTGCCCTTAAAGTAATCCTTCCCTGCCCTTTGGTCTTGGCTTACTCCTACTATTCCATAAAGCCTCTCTTCTGCAACCAGAAAAGCCCTGCATATTAAAATAATTGAGGGAAATGTTGGGAAATACAGATTTCCATTATCACCCCCAATGATTCATTTCACAGAAAAAAATGTCTTTTTAAAATGGAATAACTTAGTAGTTATCCAAACAATACACTGCATCATTAACATGGATAAACTGATATCAAGTGGTTCCTGATGTGACTCACCAGATAGTATCTAACCTTAACACAACAAAGGAAAACTACTACGTAAGTCCAAATTGAAAGACTGTCTTCAGAAGAGTGCCTTCAAAAACCTATTGGATTCCTAATAAGAAAAGTTCATGTCCAAAAAGAAAAAAGAAAAGAAAAGAAAAAGAAAAAGAGTGGAGAATTATTTCAGACTAAGAGAGAAGAAAAGGACACAGCAACTAAATACAATAGTGTTAGTGGTAAGTGATAGGGTCCTGAATTTAAGAAAAAACTATGAAGAATATTATTCGAGAAAACTGTTCAATTTGAACATGCTAATATATTAGATGATATATTTTACCAGTGTTAAATTTCCCAAGTGTTACAATTGCATTATGAGTATGTAGAAGAATGCACTCTTTCTTAGGCTACTGAATGCTGAAATATTTAGGGAAAACTATCTTAATCATTGTGACATATTCTCAAATGGCTCAGAAAAAATTGTACTTACCTTTGTACATATATGGGCTATGTACGTGCACATCAGATCTACACATAGAATAAAGTGTAAATGTACATATAGAGTGAGGTGTATCCAGGTAAGAGGTAAATAAGTTTTCTCTGTACTACTTTTGTGAACCTTTCTATAAATACGAGCATTTTTAAAATTAAAAATGTAGGCAGGAAAAAGCATTTAAAACCAGTCCCTAGGAATATTTTCACCATTAATCTTCCCGGCTGTGGGAGGACTCTATCCTTTATACTGCCACAGAATTCTAAATATTTCTTCATCATTTTCTATTATATTTTCTTATCTTTATCTAAGATAAGATCCATTTCTCAAGTTTGCTGTTAGCTGCTTGTGTTGACCTTGTTTTAATTACTTTGCTTTCCTTGAGACTCACTTTTTATATGTGTAGTATGTAAACCAAAAATAGATTAAAAAAACATCAACCTATTGGATTATGGTGACCTTAAATGAACTAATTGATATAAATCATTTAGCACTGAATTTTACAAAATAAGTCCTCAAAGAGGTAAGTTGTTTTTATTTGAGTCAGTATTACAATTGTATCCTTTCTCTCTCTGTTTCATGCCCTTTATAATGCCTGGCTGTAACAAATGCTCACTGCTTTTGCAATGAATGAATGCATACATGAATGAATGATGATGTACTATCATTCTGTTGTTGAGCATCATGCAAAAACATCTGATTCTGGGGAGAATGAGAAAATGGTTCATGCCAAGGAGAATTGTAGAAACACACAGACTAGCAGGTCTTAGACTTCTTAGGGGGGAGGGTAGCCCTCAGGCTCCCAATTGGTGTAATTCAGATTCCATCGGCTTTACTAACATGCAGGTTCTTCTAGCTCTAATATTCACCTGCAGAAACAGTCCTTATTCCTGTACTTTGGCCATTAACCACCCCAGCTTCATCCTGAAAACGTACCTGTGTTTAGGCTTCAGGCCAAACAATGTGTGATCAAACCTTTGGTTCAACATTCTTTCAAGATACAAATTTGAAAAGTGTTCACCACAAATCTTCTTTAAAAATTGGGCAAGTCGAGAAGAGAGCAATATGTCAATAGGATATCCATGGTCCCCTACACGATTCATGACCCAAGACCCTCTCCTGGTACTGAGGAAAACCTGGGAACAGAGAACAGATGGAATGTTTTTGTCAGTCTGGCTTATAAACCTTCAAAAGCACCCCTGTGTTTATCAAGAGTAAGTTCATGCGTTAGTCCTGACTTTTAGTACCTGTATAGTCTTTATTTTCCTGACATTTTCCTTCCCTAAGAATAAGCTTACAATTAAGTTAGTGGATGCTCTCCCCAAGAGTATGTCTTGCTCTGACCTTCCATTGCCATTTGGTTAATGCCACTGCACTGCCTGAAGCCCTTTCTTCTCTTCATTCCCCCAAGCCTATTTACTTTTATGATCTGGATAAGATCTACTTCCTGCACAAAGACACCACTGACAATTCATGCTAACAACTTTCTCTTTACCCTCTGAACTTCTCTAGTACGTACCACTTGGACACACCTTCCAAGCCATGGAATAGTAAAACTGAAAGCAAGTGGAGACCATTTACTTCAAAATTGACATAGATTGCATTATTACCCCAAAGTCCTGTCATTCTTATGCTGATACCACGCTTTATACACTAAGTTCCTGATTCTTCAGTGTGGGAAGTCTAAACTCCCCAGCAGGTCATCGCTTCAATATGTGACCTGTCAATCATTGTGCTAGCTCCTTTATATTCTTATTTATGCAACACAACAACCTCTAGAGGAACGTACTGCTATCACCATTTTATGGGTGCCAGAGGGAGCATGGGCATCTGGCAGAGGGAGCATGGGCATCTGGCTCAAGATTGTACTTATGGCTGTTTCTAAGATCATGCTTAAGAAATTTTTCATTAATTGTTAATAGGAAAAGAAATAATATAGTTAGTAGGACAACAGGAAGTTGGAGTTTCTGTGTCTTCTACAGGAGGAAGTCCATGTTCAGAGATCATCAGAGTTTGATATTCGGTTATGTGGCGGAAGCACAGGTGTCTGGAATGATCCCCAGAGCTGTCAGATATTGAGCATGGTCTTTTGTCTAAGATGTCATGTAGTAAACTAGTCTTCCTCTAGAGGAATAATCCTGTCCTTTACTCCTGTATCCTCTCCAGTGGTAACCTTAAGTGAATCACAAATACTTTTATATGTTTAATTTAAAGAACATGCATAGTCTAGGGACCCCACAGTTTTATGTCCAAGCTATGTAACTTGTAATGAGTAATGTAAGTACATACAGACTAGCCAAAAGGTTTCCTGCTTATAAAATAGTAACAATAATGCACATAGAAGGCCAATATGATGAAGAATGAATGATTTTGTAGAAGATATGGTATATAGTAAAGACTTCATAAATGTTAAATGGTTATTTATGCTTCTTTTATTTTTCCTCATGATGCAGTTCCATAGATATAAGGATTTACCCCTCTACATCCCCTTCCTCTTCATTCTGTTTTTCCCATATTTTTACAATGGTAAAGTCCTTCAGTAACAGACACAAGTCCCACATTCTGCTATTTAAGTGAATCATGGCGTTGTAGGTACAGGCAATGTACCTTATTATTATTTCTTAAGAAAAACAGTAAGAAAATATGTTTAATCAAAATAATCCTAGATGAAAGCAGTCTTCTAAGAGAGGGATACTTTCTTTTCACAGGAGCATTTTGTGATAAGAATTAGACCAAAACTTCCTTGGTGAACTGTGAATGTATAGATCTAGCTAAATACAGTACTGTCGACATGCCCAGTGGAAAGCTAGAAGTTGGCCACTGAATTTCTTGGGCTTGCAGGAGTGGTGTGAGGCAATGCATGCCCCCAGGTTCTCTCACAGAAGCCGCTGCCTGGTCTCTGCCCAGTCTGTTTTCTTTGGCAGTCTCTAGTTATTCAGGGCAGGGAAGGCCTAGTATTCTGAGATGGTCACTGGATAAGCCAATAGTAATAATATTAAAGAAGGCTCTTGCATCTCCACTACCATAACACGACACAGGTGTTTACCTACTCTTTTCTGTGTAATTACTTCCTGGTAAGTGTTCAGTGAATTCACACTAAGTAGCAAATATAGTCTCATTTGTGGTTATACCTAGAGATAGTACAAGGAAAAAAGTATGATTTGGACTGAGTTGCTGGTTAAGGTTCACTTAATGAATTTAGGGCATGAAGTTTCCATTAAAAAAAAAAGGCTTACAGCATATCTGTGAAGCAAAGGTTTAAGTTATGGAAGAAATATTAGGCATTAACCTATGGCCAATAAAGATATGGATAACAAGATGTAATAACATGTCCTTTTTCAGGTATTTAGTTTGAAGATAACAATTTTGTTTTTACCTGTTCCAACTCTAAGATACAAAAGTCAAAACCCAAATCCAAGCGGACAGAAATCACTTTAGAGTGAATGTCCCTTGGTGTTTTCCTAACTGTATGCAAAGGTTAGCATACTGCTCGCCTGTGCTACAAGTGTGGATGCTCTCTATACTGACAGCTGCTATGTCATTCAGAAGATAAGTTTTCTTTTTCTTTAACCTCCTGCCATTTGGGGAGTGAAAGGAATATTCACCCCCACCTTCCGAGTGAGAAGTTTTCAATGAATGCAAGGGCCACACTCTGAACAGGGTACTCTAGCAACCTCTCCCAGCAAGCATTTGGTCTTCTTTGTAGCTAGAGGCATGCTCTGAAAAAATGCTGACTGTCAGCATGGCCATAAGCTCCAGTGCCTCAGTGTGAGGCCAACTGAATGCTGGAACACTAATTAGTCATCTTGGCTCTTCCCTTAGCAGTAGTCACAGTGTTGTCAACTGAGACGTGAAAACCAAGGCCTGCGTTTGCACTCATCCTGATGGCTCTGCGTAAATACATATGCTCTCTGGGAGATCTACTTCCTAGGTGACGGTGAAGCTGCAACAACTTAAAAATAATTTATTGATTCCAACCTGCTTAGCTGTGTGGCTGATCTCCACAGCCAGGTCCCCTCCAGAATTCCCAATGCCAATGATAATGACTCTTTTTCCTTTGAACTTCTCTGGGTTCTTATAGTCTCGGCTATGCATGTACTGTCCTTTGAACTTCTCAATCCCTGAAAGAGAAGGGGGAAATTTTATTTCGAGTGGATTCCTGCACTGGATATCATGAATCAGGTTACTTGGTTTCTAAGCAGTTGGAAGCTAACATCTATATTCTCCCTATACTTAAACAGCTCTCTTGTATTTCTGAATGTTTGTGTCCGTTTTCTGATCCAATAGTCTCAGTGTACAACTTTGGGGTTTCCTTGTCATAATTGGCTTTTCTAAATTTTATGTCACTCTCTGTGTGTCTCTGTCACTCTTTCTCTCTTTCTCTCTCTCCTTGTCTCTTAACTCAGGAGCTATTTGTACTGTGGATTTGTAGCCTCATAAATCTAAGCTGCCACAGAAAGCCCCCATTCTCTTGTCTGTTCACTCCCCCGATATCTATCCTTGTTGCAGTTACAGCACACATGGTGTTATGAGTGCTAAACCAGTAGTGGGGAACATCCCAGCCTGCAGGTCTATGAAATGGTTTGGTTTGACCCTGCCAAGGCAACTGCAGGTGGGACTTGAAGCTCAATAAGTCTACAGCAGGCTAATTTTTAAGCTGCTAATTTTGTTTGGCCCATGATTGTAAGTATCCAAGTGGCCCTTGGCAGAAAATATGTTCCCCATCCTTTGCTCTAGAGTATACATGGAATACACATTTTTTTTTCCAAAAATGAAAATCCCAAGACAGAGACTGAAATTAAGTTCTAATCTTTCATTTTTTCCTTAGGAACCCAGTATTTTCATTTGCTTCAATTGCTAAACAAAACAAAACCCTCATTTAACATAACCGCGATCAAGAATTCTCCATTCTTTCTTTTTATGCTTAGAAAAACCTAAGTTATAGTGAAACTAGATAGACAAGACCTCTGATTTCCTCTAATCTACAAAATGACTCTTTCTTTCTGCCATCCCCAATGGCAAACCATACAAAATACCCAGACATGTCTCAGGGGTGCATGTAGAAAATTAGGGTAAGTCTTATTTGATATGAATGCAGGAATTCCCCAGACCTCAGTCCTCTCATTTCTCAGGTAAGGGGCAAGGTTCAAGGGGCTTCCTCCAGGACAGGCTACTCACCAGGAAAGGTGTCCAGCGGCAGGTGAGCGGTGGTGTGATGGCCGCTACAAACCAAGACTCCATCAAAGACAGTCATCTCCTTTTTCCCTTCACACTCAGTGACCACCTCCCACTGACCAGAAGTGGAGAAATCAGGCCGTTTCTTCACACTGCACACAGTGGTCTGAAAAGGAAAGTGAGGACCACAGGGGACTGACCCCACAGCTTCTTTGATGTGATTCCTCTGTGCAGAGTGTCTCACAAAGGGTTAACATCGCAAGCACAAGGCTCTGGAGGGATATTTGATGTCCATATGCCATGTATGAGCTGTTGTGTGTTGGGCTTCTGGCCAACAGAAAAAAAACTTCCAGAGGGGGAACTCAACTTACTGAGTTCGCAGGCTAATCTACTCTCTACTGCTTGAAGAAAAGTACAAATTACGAGGTCTCTGTGTCCGTGCGCTGGCCACACTGGCACTCAGGGATAAAGCCTTGGCTTCCATGACACTTGCTGTCCTCAATGCTCATTCCTTCTCCAACCCTCTCACATCCTCTGATATCATCTTAATGATATCAACCTTGGCCATTGCAGGCATTCTGGGCGCAAATTAGGAGATGGGGGAGTGCTCTCTTTCTCACTTTTTCTCTTTGTTTGACTGTTAATACATAAATTTTTAATTTGATGTAGCAGAATAATTCCAAGGTAGAAAGTGTGGGCCATTTTTCCAGCTATCAGAAACTGCTGTTCCTTTGTAGTCAGAAAGTATGGAAAAATCATGAATGGTTTTAGAGCAGGAAGGGGACTTTGAAGTAATCTAGTACAATCTTAATACAAACAAGGAAATTCAGACCAACTGAAGCTGAAGAAATTGCCTGGCTAAGGTTGTAAGTGAGTAAATGATAGATCAGAGACTCAGAATTCAGATTTCTGTTTTTCACTTCAGGGTTTTTCCTCTACATAAGAATTCACATGTTTATCAATAACTTCCTGATAGTTACCTAAGTCCTTGTAATGACCACATCAAATAATATATCAGAAAGTATTTTAAAAAGTATAAAAGGGTGAGCAATGGAGCTGAGAGGCCAGAAGATTTTAAAGTGCCCACACTTATCAGTCCCCTTCTCTCACTGGAAAACAATTCTCCTTATCTGTTTCCTTGCAGTCAGATCTAACTGTGAAATGCAGGTAATGAAACACTCTGGCAGACGCTGCCTATATCAGCAGCCAAGTGAAAGACCTCTCCCTGAATATTTTCCAGGTCCCGAGTGGACTGCATGGAATCTGCCTGGACAGATTCGATCCATGTGCTTACCAAATCAATCATGTCAGATGTCAGTGCTGGTAACCAAAGCCACGTCATTTATTTACTTAACAATCTTCAACACAAAGACACCCATAGGCTTCCCTACCTTGAACTGAATATGCTTCAGAAGGCCAAATTCTTTGGCATACATCCTGAAATACTCCAGGACCTGGGAATTGTGCATGAAGTTGGGAAAATGATCTGGAATGGGGTAGTCACTGAAGCACATCATCTCCTTGGAGGTGTTGATGATCACGGACTTGTAGATGCTGGCCCTTCCTTCTTCGGGACTTTCCTGCAGTGAATACAATGGGAGGTTTCATGATTTAGAAACCATCGGTGAACATTTGAAAAACTATGGTGGGGCCCGGCAGCATGGCCTTGTGGCTAAAGTCCTTGCCTTGAACGCCCCAGGATCCCATATGGTGCCGGTTCTAACCCTGGCAGCTCCACTTCCCATCCAGCTCCCTCCTTGTGGCCTGGGAAAGCAGTCGAGGATGGCCCAAAGCTTTGGGACCCTGCACCCGTGTGGGATAACCGGAAGAAGTTCCTGGTTCTTGGCTTCGAACTGGCATAACATCAGCCATTACACTCACTTGGGGAGTGAATGATCGGACAGAAGATCTTCCTCTCTGTCTCTCCTCCTCTCTGTATATCTGACTTTCCGAAAATAAATAAATAAATCTTAAAAAAAAAAAAACTATGCTGGAAGAAATGCTAATGAGCTAATGAAAACAAAGTGCAGACACACACCATTTGCACATCCGCCCATGGTTTGTGCTGTCAGTGTGACTTGATTTTGAAATGATGCTGAATGACTTTCCAAGATTAACTGGTAAGTAGATCAGCAGCGTCTGGTGGGGTCTCCTAGAAAGCTCACTCTGGTGAAAGCCAGCTGCTGTGTAAGACATCTAGCTAACCTGAAACTACCCCTTTGGGAGGCAGCCCCACACAGCCACATGCAGAGAACGCTGCGAGATCAGCTATCCCAGCTGAAGTTCTAAACATAGGAACAAAGACCACATCAGCTGTCAGATCTCATCTGTCATCTGATTGCAATCATGTGAGAGTCTAGAGGACAGTTGCCCAGCAGAGTGGCAATCTTTTCAATATATACTTAGCAGCCAGTGTTGTGGCACAGGAAGTTAAACCAACACTTGCAACATTTGGATCCCATATTAGAGTGCCAGTTCAAGTCCCAGTGCTTCTTTCTCATCCAGCTCCCAGCCAATGTATCTGAGAAAGCAGAAGAAGATGGCCCAAGAGTTTGGATCCTTGCCACTCATGTGGGAGACCCTGATGGAGTTCATGGCTCCTGGCATCTACCTGGCCCAACCCCAGTTATTGTGGCTATTTTGGGAGTGAAACAACACATAGAAGATCCCTCTCTGTGCCTCTCCCCAACTGTTTGTCTCTATATACATAGCTCTTTCAAAATAAATACATCTTTTTACGTTTATTTAAACATTTTGCTTGTACATGAGGACATTTCTAGAGACAAATTAAGAAATAGCAGACACATTCTGGAATTAGGATGGGAGAGGGGAGAAGGGACCTATTCCCAACTCCCCATTTTTTTTTTTAAGATTTATTTCTTTTTTTGAAAAGACAGATCAGATTTACAAAGGGAAAGATCTTCCATCCACAGATTCACTTCCCAAATGGCTATAATAGCCAAGCTGAGCTGATCAAAAGCTAGGAACTTCTTCCATATCTCTCGTATGGGTTCAGGGTCCCAAGACTTTGGGATATTCTCTACTGCTATCCCAGCAGGAAGCTGGATGGGACATTAAGTAGCCAGGACTCAAACCCGTGCTCGTATGGACTCCTGGCACTTACAAAGTGAGGACTTAGCCACTGTGCCGGGCCCAACACCTGAATTTTATTTACTCAGCAGGTATTTTTAAAGTTCTTCTGTAATAAAATACTGTATTAGCTGCTGAAAAATATAGACCTATAATTACAGCTATCTTTGACATTACTCAATTATTTATATTCTTTTTCTAGTCTCTGTCACATCAAAATATTATCTTATGTCAATAAAAATCTTCAAGTCCTCCCAGCCACCTGATTGGATGCTAAGATAGGATGTTTCAACCATCAGCTTTACAGAGAAAGAGAAACAGAGTAGTGTTGGCTCAGCGCTGGTCAGATTTCAAAGTATACAGTTTCCAGCCACCAGTAAATAAATTAACCCACTACAAATTTTGTGCCATGCTTGTATTTTTGCCTAGAAACGAGAGTCACACTTTTGAGTGAATTTCATGTAAGAAAATAGAAAGCAGGAGAAATTGGGTTGGGTAATTGGAGTGGAAGGGACTGGATGCAATAGTAAGGCCAGAAGACAGGAGAAAAGAATCCCTTTTGGTGGGGGGAGGGTGGGAAGAGAGGGAAGAGGGGCGTGAGGATTGTTGGGTGTTCTGTTTCTATGTCAGATTCAGGAACCCACGCATGGGAACTCAATTTGAATTGTTATTTTCAATCTTGTCTGCAGATTAGAATCAGTTGGGGAGCTTTAAATAATTTCAATGCCTGGGTGCCACACACATCAGCCCCTCCGTTAACTGCACCCTCTGCAATGTGCAGACAGGTCTGAGCATGTGTAAGAGGGAGGACATAGCCTGAGAGAACACACAGCACTGGAGTTATCCCACTAACCTCAAAAGCCCTTTCCACATCCATTCTAGCTAGACTTCCAAATGCCTTGAGAGCAGGATCAGATAGTCTTGTGTATCTGTGTCTCAAACTGATCCAACATAATCTGAGGTCCCCAAGTGTTTGCTCTATACTGACACTGATTTTGAATTATGACTGCTGTGTCACGCTCATTTATGACCTGGGAAAGCTGGGTAGAGGCTACAGGGTGAGGATTCTAACTTATTTGAGTCTCAGGCCAATAAAACCATAAATATGTAGACATAGACTGACAACATGTTTGTTAAAGTTCCCCAGCTAATATTTTCAAAATGTAGCCAAAGCTTAGAACCATTACTCTCTTAAGAGTTTTTGCATCCATTTATTCTCTATTTTTTTTCCTATTTTTAAAGGGATTTACAAAATTTGCAGATTTTAAAAGACTAAGAGGATGTTTTCTACATATTTTTTTTGTTGTTTTTGTTGTTGGAAAGGCAGGTCATATTTACAGAGAGAAAGAGGGACAGAGAGGAAGATCTTCCATCCACTGATTCAATCCCCAAGTGACCACAACAGCCAGAGATGAGCCAATCAAAACCAGGAGCCAGGAGCTTCTTCCACATGGGTGCAGGGTCCCAAGGCTTTTGGGCCATCCTGTGCTGCTTTCCCAGGCCACAAACAGAGAGCAGGATGGGAAGTGGAACAGCTGGGATATGACCTGGCACCCATATGGGATCTCAGCAGTTGTAAGTTGAGGATTTAGCCATTGAGCCATCCTGCTGGGCCCTCCTACTTAATTTTATATCTCACATTTATGCTTAAAAACATTTCTTAAATATGCCACATAGTATATTACATTGTATTATTTTTCATGATATACATATACTTTTTTAATGTTTAGGATTTTTTTTAAAGATTCATTTTTATTGGAAAGGCAGATTTATACAGAGAAGGAGAGACAAAGTGAAAGATCTCCTGGTTCACTCCCCTATACACATACTTTCCAGCTTTATTTTGTGAATGTGCTTATCTGGTCAGCAGCATCTACATGACTTGGGGCTTGATAGAAATGCAGAATTTGGGCCCAGCAGGATGGCTCAACAGGCTAATCCTCAGCCTACCAGTGCCAGCATCTCATATGGAAGCCATTTCCAGTCCAGGTTACTCTTCTTGTAATCCAGCTCCCTGCCTGTGGCCTGGAAAAGCAGTCGAGGACGGCCCGAAGCCTTGGGATACTGCACCCGCGTGGGAGACCCAGAAGAGCTCCTGGCTCCTGGCTTCTGAACGACTCAGTTTCAGCCTTTGCAGCCATTTAGGGAGTGAACCAGTGCATGGAAGATCTCTCTCTCTCTCTGTAAATCTGATTTTCTAATAAAAAGCAATGAAATCTTAATAAAAGAGAAAAAAATGCAGAATCTTGGCACCACACCAGAGTAATGATTCTGAATGTACATTTTAGCTAAGTTTCTAGTGTTTCATGGACCTGTTAAAGTTGGAAAACTACTGCATAGGTATGCTTTAGGGTTTTTTTTTTTTTTTAAATCCAGGCTGACTGAAGGATATTAAAAATTGCTTTTCCAGTATCAAGTACTCACTAAATTCCCAGAATTTCCTAAGAGGTTTGTCATTTGCTAAAAATTACTTAGTTATTAGCTATGACAGAAAAGCAGAAAGGGAGAGAACTTTCATCAACTCGCTCACTCAGCTGGCCTCAACAGCCAGGGGTGGGCTAGGCTGAAGCCAGGTGCAGGAAGGTAAAGGCTCAAGCCCTTGGGTGTTCCCAGGCACTTTCATGGGAAGTTGGATCAGAAGCGGGGCAGCCAAGGTTCGACCTGCACTCCAGTTTAGGATGCTGCAGATTAACTTGTTGTGCCGCAACACTAGCAAACAAAAGCAGTTGCAGGTGCCCTCTTCCAAAGACAGAACTTTGGCCTTCTGAAAAGTTCCAAACAAACAAGGCTGTCAGACTCTGTTTTCTGTTCAAGGATTAGCACCCTGAAAGAACTGCAGAAGGTAAATCAGACTTTTTAAAAAAATGAAATATGTAATAAAGTTAGAGAAAACGGAAAGGGGGGAGTCCTGAGAAGAGCTGCTGACAGGTGCTTTTCAGCACATTCACCTGTGCGGACAGACGAGGCGCAGTCCTTCAAGATTATCTAGCCCTCCTTGTTTGATAGTGCTTGTTACTTTGTTACTCTTAATGAGTTTGCTCCTCTCTTCTCAGAAAGTAGCAAAAGCCGCTAAAGGAAAACGGTGCCTGTGTCATTTTCACAGAAAACAAGAAAACAAACACAGAATGTTGCAACCACCCATGTCCCACTTTGCTGCCAGTTCAGGCTCACAGGAACCTGTATTGCCACCTGCGAAGACACTAGCTGGCTCCACTCCTGCCAAGCCCGTCCTGTCGCCTGGTGCCGGGGAGAAAGTCTGCGGCTCCTCGTTGCAGAAGGAGCCCAGGGAACCAGGGCGCCGGCAGGTTTACCTCGAACCTCCAGAGCCCTCCGATGTCGTGGGATCTCTCAAAGCAGACAGGCTCCAAGCCCTCATCCAAACAGGTCTTGATGGAACACAGCCCGCTCGCTCCTGCCCCAATCACGGCGACTCTTTTCTTGGTCATGATCTCCCAGGAGTGTCACTTGGCTAGGTTTATGTCCCTTGTCCTAAAGAGGGAAAAACACGGCAAAACAACAACAACAAAAACAAACAAACAAACAAAAAAACCGGAAAACACGCATCAACCAACACGTTTTGAAGAAGACACTGGCCCCAGCAATCCGCCTCAAAGGCCGCAGGGAGAGGAACGTCTGCGGAAACTAGACTGTGTCGTCCTGTGGGAGTTGCTACGCTGGGCGCCCGGCAGCCTCCCGCCAGCAAGGTGCAAAGCTACGGGGCCCGCGCTGCGCCGCGCCCTGGACCTCACCGACTGCGCGAGGTCCTAACGCCGCGATCCGAGGAACGCTGGTGAGGCTTTACTGCGACCGAGTAAATATAAACAACGTAAAACCCCCAAAGCATCGGCCCACGGGGCGGAGCTTCCCGCTGCACCGCCTCCCGGCCAACGTCCTGCCCACCCTGTCCCTGAGCGCGAGGGAAACCTGGACTGCGTGCAGTTCCGGCAGAAGTGGAGGGTGCGACTCCTCGGATGCACCACCGCAGGTGCAGGCACTCTGATCGGCTCTCGCCCGACACTGAGCGGACTCGGGCTCCGTACAGTCCTCCGCTCAGCTGACCACTTCCTGGTCAGCCTTAAAGTGATTGACAACCCCAAAACAAAATAAGCCTTGGTCCCAACGCTTTTGTAGAAAGCTACGTTTCAAGGGATTTGATAGAACAAGTGACACCGAAGGACTGGTACCCAGGGTAGGAATGAGCCTTGTGTCAGAGAGCAAAGAGGAGTGGCGCTGTTTCCAGCCCGTGAGAGATCCCCGGAAGAGAGCCAGCGAGGTGGCCCAACAGCCAATCCTCCACCTGCAATTGCTGGCAGTCCAAGTGAGCTCCAGTTCGTGTCTCCAGTTCCCGTCCTGCCCCCTTGTTAATGGCCTGTAAAGCACAGTGGATGACCCAGGTCTTTGGGCCCCTGCCTTTCCGTGGGAGACTCCCCCGCCTCCCCTGGGGAGCTCCTAGCTTTGGATCAGCTCAGCTGTGGCCCCTGTGGCCGTTTGGGGAGTGAACCAGTGGATGAGAGATTTCTATCTCTCCTTCTCTGTGTACATCTGCCTTTCAAATAAAAATATTTTTAAAAGGAGAGAGAACAAAACATAAACTGCTAATTGCAATGATAACAGGATGGGTTTTCCATGTACCACAATATCCACTAATAAAATATAACATAAAATGTAGCAGAATCAACCTTGTAGAACTGCCCACAAAAAGGATGCAGAATTTCACACATGGAATCAGGCTTCTATTCTGACAGCTGTCAGGTGCTGTGAGAGGCACACACTGTGAGTGATGCTATGGGTTGTTTCTTGCTCCCCTCCTACCATTTCCTGACTCAAGTCTTCTTAAGGGGGCTCAGTGCCAAGCAATGCTAGGCCTGGGGGTTTGACTTACTAGTTTTACTCTGGAAGTATTCGCCACAGGTCGGTGATCAGATTTTTGTTTGTTTGTTTTGTTTTCAGAGCTTACACTGTAGAGTTCAAAAACAGTTTCTTGCTAATCAGCCAATGAGATCATCTCATCAACCCCATGAGGCCAGCCCTAGCATCACCCCACATATGTTTTGTGGAAATAGTGACACAGAGAAGCTAACCAACCCACAGAAGATCACACAGCAAGCAGGTGGATAGGAAAGGAATGCGAGTCAGCCAGTTTGTCCCTGTGCACAGGCACTGGGTCACTGCATACACTGCTCTCGCACCATGGGATTTTTTACTTATGAGGCCACAAATCCTTTGTCTTCCATTTCTCTTCTCTTTGTTGCATCCCCTTTCTCTGTCTAACCCATGCATCTCATGGCATTTTAGTGGAACCACTTTTAGATGAATTAGAGCCCACCTTACTGTGACTACTTTATAAGACGTTTGAAAATGGGTGTGAGAGATGCAAGAGGACAGGAGTGCTGGCATGGCAGGTGTCACACTGCTCAAGATGTCCACAATGTATATCAGTGGGCCTGGATTTGGATCCAAGGCCCTGCTCCCAATTCCGTCTTTGTGGTAATGTTTTCCCTGGGAGGCAAGAAGCAGCTACTCGAGAATGGGGGGTCCTCAGAGAGAGGGATGCAAGTATATAGTGGGCTGGGTTGGGCTGGGCTGCAACATCCATTGTCTTGGTAAGAGGTGGAGGCTTGGTAAGGACTGGAGACAGAACTGACCTATCAATTATAGCTACGAGTATGTGCTTAGGCTGATGTGGGTGACAGACTGAGCCAGACACTATACTGGTAAGCACACACAAGAGTTAGTTCTGAAATCACTTCAAAGTTTCTTTCAGAATCCACCCCCCAAAAACTGAATCACTGGACTCAGAACTCCAGCAACTGTGGGGAGAACTGCAGGATCTGTAGTCTGACCATGGAGTGCATGTGTCAGAACTGCGCCTCCTCAGTGTCTAAGACTAAGCAGTGGATGGTCTATCTGGACGCACATGGAGGATATGGCAGTCCACTGGGGCATGCAGAGGACATCTGGTACCATAGCAGAGGATAGAAGGCAGAACAAATTGGACAACTACCCCAGCCAAGCTTTGACAGCAAATATCTGGGTGAATGGAGACTCTAAGGTGGACTATGTCAGCCAATGGACCTTGGAAGCACTTCCTCATCCTTTAGATGTAGTTCTTTCAAAGGAGCTATTTATCAAAACCCCACAAATCTCTCAATAGCCATATCAAGGCAACTTAATCAAATAGCTCTTACATTTTTTTTTAATTGACAGCATTCCAGAACTATCACAACCACTTGAGCAGAACCCTTGGAGCATGCTCCACATTAGGGACCTTGGGATGACATCGGATAGCTATTACCCATTCCTGGATACTAAGGCAATTGGAGGCTTGGTGCCGGGGACCAGCTCCAGCTGACTGAGAGCTTGCAAAGGATGCGTGGATTGGCAAGATGATAGGAAGAGATAAGACACGGACCACTATGACTTGATGCTCATAATGGACAACTCAGAAAAGTTGCCTTGTTTATTTATACATAAATCATCACAAGTTTTTGCACAACATCCAATTGTTTCATTTTTCATTACATCATGGTTATGAAAATGCAAGAAGCAATCCTAAAAAATATTTTTCTATTTCAAAGAAAACATTCTTAGCAAACCATTACTCATTGAAACCTGCAATCACCTAGCTGAAGCCAGGAACTCCACGGTTGGCAGCACATGCAGTTACATAGTGACAAGTAGTTTACTTATACTCAAAATCAATTTTTACTAAACACAAACTAATATTGATTAAAATATTAAGAATACAGAATTAAAAGATCATAAATGAAAGGATTTTATAAAAGCATATAACAGATTCTTTGCTAAATCTTATAATCAAATCATGCATTAATTACTGTCACCTTCACCTAGTGCTGATTCAATTGTTTTTTATTCTTTTGTTAAAGGGCAGTGAAAGGGATCAAGGCAATTCAGCTAATCTACAAACAGAGGGCCTCTACAAGAAACTTCCTTTCATCTATATAAACTATTTTCTTTCCCTAAATATAAATGCCAATATAAGATAGAAATTTTTATAAATTGTTTTCTTTCCCTAAATATAAATGCCAGTATAAGATTGAGATTTAAGCCATTTCGAGGGGGTTTTGTTTTGTTTCCTTTTAGAAGATGCCCCACATATTTTGCTTTCTTGTGATAAACTAAAATGCGTCATATCATGTGTTGTAACAGTTCGAGGAGCATGGTAAACAAACTCTTTGTGCCTCCATGATTGCCATCTATTCCAGGATATTATCAAGCCATTTCTTAAAGAAAACATTACTTATACTAGGGCAAATTTCAGGACAAAAGTGGGCACATAACAGGATGTTTGGAAACATAGTGGGCTCAATTGTACTATTGTATACTTTCAACTGTGTGTCATAGCCTTACTATAGGTGTTTTTATCATAACATGATAGATCAATTTGAGGTGTCATACCAGTTACAGGAATCACTTCACATTAGCAGAAAAACAACAACACCCTCAGAAGAATTCTATGAAACATCAGAGAGGTGATTGAGTTCCATACAATGGGTGAGGCAGCAATGAGGTGACCAGAGACATTCTGCTGGGCCTTGCCTCGCAGTCAGAAAGTCCTCGCAGCCTTGCTAACTGAGGAGTGGTGCTCATCACACACCCATGCCATCTGACCCAACTGCACGGCTCCCCACAGCTTGGTATGGTTTCTTCTCTCATCTCCCCTCTTCCCCCAGATACAGGAGGAAGAAAAGAAAGTTTGGAAACAATGGTCTCATCCTCTTTCCCCTAATCCTCACCCCTTCCCATCCTGATCAATTATGTAGACATGATTTAAAAAAAAAATGGGATTCCTACGACTCGTGTGGGAGGTGGGAGGCCCAGGTAGTTTCTGCAGCCAGGCCCACTCATGGCTACTGCTGGCATTTAGAGGGTGAACCAGCATATGGGAGATTTCTCTGTGTATCTTTGTGTTTCACATAAAAATGAATGGATGAATTAAAAATAGGTTATTGGCTTGGGAAATCATTTGACTCTATTAAAAAGATTTCTGCCCCTTGCAAGATTTAAATTAGATGAAAATATAGTAAACATACATTGTGGGGAACATGGAAAAGTGAAAAGAAGAAGGCTCAAGGGTAAAGAATAATTTTTTTCCAGGAAAAAGCAAAGTGCTTTTTTACTAGTTGATGTAGTTCTGTCAAAGGAGTTATTGTAAAATATCACTAACCTCTCTAGCCATATTCAGGCAACTTAATCAAATAGCTCTTACATTTTTAAAATGTTCCATTCAGGTTTTTGCTTTTGATTCTCTTTTCATTTTGCTCCAAAAACTTTAGTATCCTGTGAAATTACTACCAAAAAGAATGCCTTTTGTCATTAAATCTCTTTTCTTCTATAGCTGTTTTCTCCTAGGTAGAAAAAGCAGAGTTCTTTTTTTTCCCCCCTTTTATACAGTTATCTAAATTTATCTCCTTATAAATTTCAGGAAAATGATTTAAAAAAATTTTTTTAAAGGTTTTAAGTTTTATTTAAAAGGCAGAGTTACAGAGAGAAGGAAAGCCAGAAAGATGGCTTTCTCGTGTGCCATTATCATGTTTCCATGATATCGTGGTTTATTAGGTACTGGAGTTGCTGAACCTCATGCAAGCACATGCGAACCAGAGTGAAGCTAGCATGTCACCCAGAATCCCCAGAACTGGAGTTGGGTGATCCTTTTGGATGCGATTTGGAGTGAGGGTAAGGAGTCCTGAAAAGTGAATACAGACTTTTAGCAACTAGAATGGTAGCAGATACTACTCACCGTTCATGAAAATCTGTTCTCTTCTCTTACGGCACAGTGTACTTGCGGCTGCCAGAGGCTGCCTATGCAGGAACTGCATTTCCCAATCTTTCCTGCAGGCACACGCAACCATCTGATCATGTTCTCACTATGGAAATTTCTTCTAACCTGTTCCAACGGGAAGTGCTTGCACTAGTCTTACTCCATGTCTT